ATAAATAACAAAGAAAGTACAATTAAAATAAGAAAGAAAAAATAATAATAAAATAGTAAAATATTATAGGGTTAGGGTGGAACTAAGAAGGAACTTAGTTGTGATTCTGAAGAATGTCTGAGGTTGTTGCCAAGAAAAGAACCTTCAAGAAGTTTGAATTCCAAGGAAAATCACTCGAAGAAATCACTACAATGCCAGAACCAGAATTTGTTAAAATGTTAGATGCTAGAATGAGAAGATCATATAACAGAGCACCAAAATTAAAACACGAAAGACTTGTCAAAAAACTTCTCAAAATTAAGAAAGCCACTAAAGAAGGTGAAAAACCAAAACTTGTTAAAACTCATTGTAGAGATAAAATTATTCTTCCAAATATGATCGGTTCAGTAATTGGTGTTTACAATGGTAAATCTTTCACTACTGTTGAAATTAAACCAGAAATGATTGGACATTATCTTGGAGAATTCTCTATTACTTACAAACCAGTTACCCATGGAAGACCAGGTGTAGGAGCTACTCATTCTTCTAAATTCGTCCCATTGAAATAAGTAAAAGATGTTTCGTGTCTAATTTTTGTATCATTTTTTTTGGCAATTTTAATTTTTGTTATATTAAAGTAAGTAAAAAATATAATAAATTATTATATTTTATAATAAATTAAGGGTTACTATAAAAACTCAAAAATAATAATCTTATTTGGCATTTGTTACTTCTGTGGATCACTGACTCATTGGATTGTCTTTGATTTACAAGGACTTAAATAATAAATGACTATTTTATTATTAATTGTTCACTGTTTTGTAAAAACGACTTCATTGCCGTTTGCTGTTAAAGTTTAACAGCCAGTGACTTTTTGTTGTGATTAAAAAATCACTCGTCCAAAAAGGGCACAGCATTGAGGTTACTCAAAAAGAAGTATTTTCTGTTGGTGTTGTTTCATCAATTTTTTTTCTCAAAAACAAATAAATAATAAAAAAAATAAAACAAAACGATTCATGATAAAACCTTAAAAGGGTTATTCCAAAAATAGGAATGAGAACTGAGAAATTAAGAACTAAGGGGTAAAGTAAAGGAGGATGGATAGGATGCCACTAAAAGAAATAATAAAACCGAGATTTCGGTATACCACAGAAGATGTTGAACATGATGTCAACCAAATATTTTCTGCATTTGGACTGACTCCTCATGTACATCAAATGGAATGCTTAAAAAAATTGCTTGAAGACGTTCAAAATAACCATTCATCAAACAATTATTTGATGCAACACTCTACTGGTTCTGGAAAGTCCTTGACTATTGCATCCTTAGCCCATTTTTTATATAATTTACATACCGAAACAGGTCCAAAATATGATAAGGTTATTGTGTTGAATGATAGAGTTCATTTAGACACGCAACTATATTGTACTGTAAAAGCTGTTTTAGGAGTTATTGATAAAATAGAAGTAAAAAGAGTTAAGAATTCAGTTAAACTTCAAGAAGACTTGGAAGATATAAAATGTCGAATTTTTTGTACGACGTTACAAAAGTTTAGTTTTGTAGAAACACAACTACCAAGTGACTTAAATATTGCTATTATTTCTGATGAAGCACATCGTTCACATGGAGCTGCTGCTACAAGAAAATTACATACAATGTTATCTGGAGAACAACGGCAAAACCGTCATATTACATATTTTAGTTTTACTGCTACACCAACTTCTAAATGTCTTCGACTGTTTGGGACTCATAAAGATGGATTAATTAGACCATTTCATTGTTTTAGTTTAGCTGAAGCAGAAAGTCAAGGATTAGTAATGAATGTTCTAAAGAATTATTACGTTGTACCAAAAATGTTTAATCTTTCAGGGAAAACTAAAGCAGTAGATCCTATTGCTGATGGATTACAAGTTGCAAAAAATTTGTCAGATGAAATTAGAATGACAGAAAATCTTATGAAAAGAAGAGCTGAATTTATTATTAATCATTTTGATGAATTGATTAAAAGAACAGACTCTTCTTCATTTAAAGGAATTGCAATGTTAGTTTGTAGAACTAGAAAGAGTGTTATTAAATATACTCAAATGCTTCGAGCAGTTATTAATGAAAAAGGACTTGATTATGGAGTATTTGGTGCATTTAGTGAAACAGATATTGATGGAGTAATGGAAAGTGAAGAAAAATTAAATACAATGTATAATACATATTCTGATTCAAAACATATTACAGAGTTATTAAAGGACCAACAAAAGAATATTAGGATTATTGTAGCAGCAGATAAATTACAAACTGGATTTGATGAACCAAGACTAATGTGCATGTATGTTGATAAAGTATTAAGTGGTTCTCATGCCGTCCAAACATTAGGAAGACTTGATAGAATTTGCAAAGGAAAGAAAGAAGTTTATGTAGTTGATTTTGCAAATCAGTCTGATTCTTTAAAGAAAGCATGGGGAACTTTTTATCATGAAGCATTATTATTTGAGTCAGATACAGATGTTAAACGTCAAGATGTTTTTCAAACTGTTAAAATGAGATTAAAGAAAATTGATGGCATTAAAGAACAAAATATTGAAATTGCTAAAGAGGCAATTAAGAATGAGAATATTGAAAGAAGAATTAGATTACTAAATCCTGTTCAGACAGATATGTTATTATTCCTTAAATTAGTTGATTATTTTCAAGACGATAATGATAGAGAATTAAAGTATTCATTTATTTCTAAGTTATATACTTCTATTTCTTCTCAGTCAGATAAAACAATTAGTTTAACTCAATTACTTAAGTCATCACTATCAGTTTCTGTTGATGAAACATTAGAGTTTAATGCTACTCATATTCCTATTGTGTCTATTCCACAAAGTGCTCCAAAAGGAAATAGTTTGGCTATTTATCAAAGGAGATGTAAAGAAATGACATCTACAGAGGTAGTTGAAATGGCTGAAAAAATGGTTGATGGAGAGAATATTAACAATGACCCAGTTTCACAATTTTCTAATGAAATATATTCTAAAAATAATCGAGATTTACTTAGAGGTATTGTTAATAAATATAGTAAAACACCAGTTAAAAGGAAGCCAAGTAAGAAGATTGAAATTAATGCATATTGTAGACAAAATATTCACCACTTACTTGGATGGGATAAGGTTAGTGGAACATTACGATTTTTATTAAAGGAAGTAATTAACAGTAAAATATTAGAGCAATTCATTCATGAAAATGGGATTGCATTTTTATTCGTATGTTGTAATAACGCAAAGCCATATGAAGGATCATTTGGACAAGCTGCGTTGCAGGTTATCCTCGATTGTTTAAAACCGGTGTATATTCCTTTGTTGTCAGAAACAATGTTTGATGTCAATTTTCTCATCAATAGTTTTTGTCAAAATACAAAGTTCTTAGCTGCACCAGCATTAAAAATCTTGGTTCGACTCTGCTCGCTCTTTCCATTGATAAAAAAATATGTTCTTGCGTGTGAATTTTTTAGAGAAAAGTTAAAAGAATACTCTGGAACAAGTTCATTATTCCTTAAACAAGCTATTGACAGTTTTGTCAGACAACACATAAGTGTTTGAAGAAAAAAATATGTTAATTTACTGTTTTTACTTCGGTTATGTTTTTAAAAGTAATTTAAAAAATAATATAAATTCATCTTTTGTTAATTTTAAAAGTCTAAATAAGAGAAACTCTAAATCTTAAACAAAAATGAAAAGAAGTTGTAAAACTTCCAAAAAAAAATTAGATGAAGAAGAAGATAAAATTGAGGAAAAAGAAGTTCATAATAAAAAGAAAGGAAAAGATGACCAATTATATGATATTGAAAAAGATAATGACCAATATTGGAAGGATCATGACTTTGAAGTATTTACAGAAGACTTCGAAAAAGGAAAACCTGAAAAAGCTAATGATGAAATTAAAATTGCTACGTATAATGTTGCAAGTTGGAATGCTGCAATGAAGAAAGGATTAAATGAATTTATCAAAGAAGAAAATCCTGATATTTTATGTGTTCAAGAAACTAAATTACAAGATGGAGTAAATCCTATGATTGATGGATATCATTGTTATTTTAGTGCTTCTACGGCTAAGAAAGGTTATGCTGGTACAGCCATTTTAAGTAAAGAAGAGCCATTGAGTATAACCAAAAAAATTAATGGAAAAGAGAATGAACATGGTAGAATTATTACAGTTGAATATGAGAAATTTTATTTGGTTAATTCATATGTCATGAATAGTGGTCAACGTCTTGAAAATCTTGTTAAAAGGACAACTGAATGGGATAAAGATATGAGAGAACATTTAAAAGAATTACAAAAGAAAAAAAATGTTATTTGGTGTGGAGATCTTAATGTTGCTTTACGTTGGATTGATGTTGCTAAACCAATGACGAGATTAAGATGTGCTGGGTTTACTAAAGAAGAACGAGCTAGTACTAGTGAAACATTAAAAGAATTAAATTTAGTTGATACATTTCAAGTAAAATATCCAAAGAAAAGAGATTTTTATACCTTCTTTTCATATAAAGACAAGTCTAAAACTGCAGGATGGAGATTAGATTATTTCTTTGTGTCAAAAGATTTAGTTGATTCTGTTACTCAAATTTATAGAAGAAAAGAAATTTCTGCATCAGAGTTTGTTAATTATTAAATAGATAAATTTTTTTTTTGTTACATCAAATCATAATATTAATTGTATTAGTCATGTCCCATTAATTATTCATATTAAAAAATAATTGAATAAATGGAATTAATTTGTTTTCATTTATAAGAAGTAGAAATACTATACTTTTTAAGTACATTTTTTGATACTTTTTGTAACAAATTTAAACGTTTATTTTCATTGATTAATTCTTCAGCAGTTGGTAAATATAAAATTTCAATCATTGTATCTATTTGTAATGCATTTGAACGTCTAAAACATGTTAATAATGAACAAAGTTTTATTTTATTTTGAAAAATAATATGGATATACTGTTTTGATATTTCTTTCATTGTACCAAACCACTTTAATGTTTGAAATGGTTGTTCAAATCCTTCAGTAATAAAGTATTGAATGGGAGATATAAATTGTGATGAAGAACTTCTAGCAAAAGTAAGGTCAATATGAAAAAGATTTCCATTTAATGGATTAAACAATACATTTTTAAAGTGACGGTCAAGAAGTAAACACAAAGACCAAAAAATTTGGACTAATGCACCTGACTCAATGAAGTTTTTTTTTCTTATGTATTGTGGTTGAAGAATTGAATTTAAAGAAGGACAATACTTCTCATAATAATTTTGAAATGATTGTAATACTTCATTACTTAGTAAAATTGAAGTATCTAATTGAACTAAAGAAGGGATTTGAATCATTTGTGGAATTACTTTTCTACAAAATGAATATGGAATACAATTAGGGATAAATTCAACAAATTTACCAAATGAAATATTATAAATTTGATATGTTTGATATGAAGAAGAACATAATTGAGAAACAGTTTTCATAAATGTCATTAGATTTGATTCTATTGTTGTTTTATTAAATTTAAATAATAACATTGACTTTGAATTATCTGTATGAAGAAATGTAATAATAATTGGATGTTCTAATGATTTGTTAATGATTTTTGATTGAATAGAAGAAATAGGAATTGATGAGAATGGTTGAAGAAGAGGATAAGTAATAATATGATTATCCTTTTCTTTACTATTTATGATGAATGAAATTAAATCATTTACACCAGAAATTGAAGGAATAATTTTATCAGGATAACAACAATGATATTGTTTTGAAAAAGCCAAAAACCATTCATCTATAAAAGCAATTTTATGGTCAAATTTTTCTAATAACAACCATAACATGTTATAGAAATAAATATAATGTTGTGGTTTAGAAAATAAAGTCAATAAATTTGGTAAAAGTTGTATACTTTTTTCTTGTAATGAAATTAAGAAAATCACTAGTAATGAAAGATTTGATAATATTTCTTGTTCTTTTAAAGAATGAAATAATGAAATAGAAAAGTCAATAAAACCCGAAGTAGAAAAAAGTAAAAGGTCTAATAAAGTCAAATACATTTGTGAAGAAATAATTCTATCATATAACCATTCATAACAATTCTTTAACATATTTTCTCCATAATCACAATACATTCGAATACATAATAATACATTTCTACATGATTCAAGGTCTTCAATTTCTAACAACCAAAATCTTCGTTTTACCACTTCTAATATGAAAGAATAGTCAATTGGTGTATCAATTTTAATTGACTTTAATTTGTCAATAAATTCTTTATCAATTTCTTTTAAATTACCGAATAAAGTAGAGTTTAAAACAGTATTTAATGAAATTATATTATTTTCTGTTTGGAAATAAATTTGTGATTCATTAATATCTGAAGTTTGATGAATAAATAATGTTTGAAGAGTTTTAACATTTTTTATTGAAGTGAATGAGTTAAATGAATGTAAATAACCATTTTCATAAATCATTCCATTTTTATTAAAGACTTTTGTTTCATTACAATAAGATAAGTTATAGTCTACTATACGAAGTGTCATTTTGAATTGAAACCAATTTTCTTTATTGTTAGAATCATTTTTAATGTTTTCATTAGGAATAAAATTTAATAACGAAGTATCACCTCTCAAATATTTGTTTGAGTTTATTTCTCTTTTAGTAAAGCCAATTAGTTTTTCTTTTAGAAGATATCCTTGTTCATCAAAAAGATAACAACCACTATCTATATATGTTTCGTTATCATTTAGTAAATCAATAACAATTCTAAGATAACTTTGATGATGAAGTTGATTAAAAGAAGTAATGAAAGTACAATAGAATGAGTCTAAATCATATTTAATTGTTTTTTCTTCTATAACTTCCATATTTTCCATTAAAATAAAATGAATAGTTGAAGCAACACATGCTAATTGACTTGAAACAAGAAAAGAAATAGAAAAAGGACATTTCATTTGAGAAAGAGAGAATGATGAATTACATAAAGGTATTGAAATAAAATGAGGAGTATTATAAGCTAATTGATTATATTTATACCATTCTAATTTATTTGTTTCAAACCATTTTGGTTTAAAATATCCATTAAATGAACCAAAAGAAAATGAGTTTAACTTCATTAATAATGTTATTGGAAATTCCTTTTCTTTATAATAACGAATAATAAATCTATTTTGTTTTGGAATAAAATCGTGTAATAAACTGTTTTGAGTTGTTTGAATAAGTGAAGTACTATAAATATATATTTTGTCATAACTAATTAAAAGCAATTGAAATGTATGTTCGTTAACAATTATTGGAATTGAACAATATAACATTTCATTTGTCATTTATTTTTAAATAACTTTTTTTTAGTTTTTTATTTTTATTATTTTTTTTTACTTCGGAGATCGAAGGTGGCACGTCTGAAACA